AGAGAATTAGAAGAAAGGTTGTAGTAATAATAAAAAAATTAAAAAGTTACACAATCAAAATCATAATTCGGTTTCACGATAATAGTGTTATAGGTTAGTTAATCAAAAATATCATGTTGATTATGACATCACGAAGTGAGGCATAATTAACAGGATATTTTTGATCAACTAACCTATGACTAGAACTTGTAATTACTAATTTTCTGTATTACTCACTTACTAATTACTAATGCCAAGTAAATATTTATGTCAACTGAGCAAATACTTTGAATTAACTTTCCATTTTTTCGAATTACTTTGGTGGTATATTAAATAGAACCAGAGATTTCTATTAGTATGTTTTTTTTATGTTTTCCTGATAGCTGCGAAATGGTTTATTATTTTAAATGCAAATAGTTAACTTCCGAATTTCTTCATTTTTATATAATTACTTTAAAGTTATAAATTCATACCTATGGATGGATTTTTATACAATTTGATTATTTTATATTTAACAAAAAATTATCCATCAGCAATTCTACTTATATTATTATTAATTAATTAACTATTTAATTTGCTTTATTAAATTATCTTTTCATAATTTAATAAGCTTTCATTACTTAAATTTAATTTAGAAATTTCATTATTTAATATTCTACTTGTATAATATGCTGATGGGTGTGATTTGTGAATTTGTTGTGAATTAATATTATTGTTATTATTATTACTACTATTGCCACTATTACTACCACCAATATTAATACTATGAAGTTTATTCAACAAAGCTCTCTAATGGTTGGTCTCTTAGTTGGATCCACATCTCAACACCTTTGCATCATTTGTGGATAATCATCAGGCATTCCTGATAATATTAGTGGTTGTAAGCCTCCAATCATATCTAACATTAAACAATGATCATGAGCTTTATTATCAAATGGTGGATGTCCTGCAAATATTTCCCACATTAACATCCTAACACTATAAATATCTGATTCTTTTGTGTTCTTGTTTCCTCTAAATAGCTCTGGAGCAATATATGGTATAATTCCATAGATTTTGTTTGATGGTTTTTCATCAACTGGTCCACATAATCCTAAACCTGTAATATAACCACCACCATCATCACTTATTAATATATTACCACTGTGTAAATCACAATGAATTAAATCTTTTCATGTATATCATATAACACCTCACATAAATATTAATTCTATCCTTTAATGTTAAACTTGAATGATTTTTTTGTAAATAATCTCTTAAAGTTCCTTGTTGAAAATAATTAAGAACCATCACATAATTTCCATTATTTGGGAATTTAGTTATACCATAGCAAGGAACAATTAAACTTGAACTAATTTTACAATAATTTAATGCCTGTGATCAATTATATAAATAAAATAAAATAAAATAAAATAAAATAAATGGTTTAATTTAGTTTAATTTAATTTAAATATGATTAATTACCTCATTAAAAAAGACTGTCCTGGATTACTTGAATTATTTAATGATTTTAATACTACATGCTGAGCTCCATAATAACTAAACTCCTTTTATTTTCATCATAATCATATACACTTCCTCTTGTCCACTCAGCAATATAAATTGAACTGAATCCACCTTCTGTTAGCTTTTTTATATTTTTAAATTGCTTATAAGGTATCCATTCTACAATATGATGAAAGCTGTTGACATTTTTAAATAAAACCATCAATAATCTTATTTCCAGATGTCCAAGTATTGAAAAGTCTTTGTAGGTGTAGACCAATACAAAGTTTATCAGAGTATCTTGTTGTTTTACACTTGTTACATTCTCTAATTTAAAATTATAAATATAATTTTCTCTGCAATATTCTTTTTCATTTTCTAAAAATTCTTTGTTTTCTTTGACTAATTGTAAAAAATAACCTTTCTATTTTCTCTGTCAGAAACAGTTGGAAAAGCAGAATGAGCAATATCATTCATTACATTATTAATCTTAAGTACTAATTCTCTCCTGTCTGATGTTAATAATCCTTCAAGTACCATTTCTAGATTTATTAATATTAATATCTATATCCTTGGCTTTAAAAAAGTTTTTAAAAAATGATTTTTTCAATATAAATAATTTGTTACTTTTGTTTAAAAAGGGCGAAATTTTTATTATTATCAGTATTACAATTTGTGATTTTTGGAATTGGGGAAATAAAGATACCAATGAAGATAATATTTTATGAGTGAGTGTATTTCACCAATAACGCTTTACAACATATTATTTAAGTTATTATTATTGCAATGAAACTTTTGTTTATTATAACTAGCTAAACTTTTCTTCAAAAAGAACATTAATTTTTCAAAAAAAAAATATGAAACGATCAAATTTAGGTGTTGGGAATGCATGATTAATTAATATTAATATATTTATATATAACATTGGCGGGGAGTATTATTATGATTGGTTTTGTTTTAATATTAAGAGATATGTACACAATTTTTGTGTTGCTACGCAGCTATATTAATATAAAAAAAGAAAAGATCCTCCGAGTATTCTACCAGTAAATTATTTAGCGTGAAAATATTTTCAAAAAATTTGTTACACTATACGTATGCATTCAAAATTCGTTATATCAAACTATTAATCACTTTTATATAAAAATATTTATGGTAAGAAAGCTGTAAAGAAGCCTTTAATTTCAGAGAAAAGGTTGTTCTTGTAATTTTTGAAAACCAACGAAATAAAAGTAACTATTATATAAGATCACATTACCAATATGTTTCACCAATTAATGTAAATATATTGTTTGTTTCAGTATGCATATCATATTCTTTTCTGGTTTTTTTATTATTATTAGCATATAAGCAAATTTCGTATTTTTGAGAATCAAGTAAAGTTCAACTTACCTTTTGGCGCCATTTTATTTTAAAAGTAATAAAGAAATACAAGTGTGATAATTATTTATGAAAGCAATTAATTACAGAGTGTAAAAATAAATAATCAAGTAATAAATAATACCAGAAGATTTTTATTTCTTCATTCTTGGCATCATCTATTTTGGTCTTTAGTAATTCCATAATAGTTACCATAAATTTATGTTTGCTATAAAATGAATCATATTGCTTTATGAACTTTCTCGAAAAATCACCTTTATCCGAATATTCGATACTTTAATATAATCATTATAGCTTGCATTTTCTTTGCATTCATTAAAAACTTCATTTCCACCACATTTATCACTTTTTTTATTATTCAAGGATGTTTTTATTCCATCAATAATCAAGAGTTTTGAGACTCTAAAAAACCATAATCTCAAAATATTGATCTAGTATAAACTCAGGTCCCCATACAACAAATAACAACGAAGTTCTATTAATGATTAAAATGCATCCCACCGATCATTAATTTTAAATTTAAAAGAATTACGAATCAAGTAAATTTTTTTTTGATCTAAGAAAATTTTATCATATCTCAAACAGGTTAATATATATTTATAATATTTAAGTAGCAATTATCTTTGTTTCTATTTTTCTTGATTTTAATAACTTTCTTTCTCTAACTCTCTTTTTATACATACCCTTTTCATGGCTTGCACAGAAAAGCGTATGATGAGTACTGCTCATAATAACATTAATAATAACCGCTCGAATAATAATAATAACCGCTCTAATAATGATCGCCTCATGAATAGCATTAATAATGATATATGGGTCAAATCTCTTGTTATATTAACAATAATTCAAGCCATAGTTGGGATAGCATTAGAAGTTAGAATATTGTGTAGAAATATAAAACTACGAAGTGATTTAAGATATATCAGTCCAAATATTTTAAAATGTGATTTAGAAATTTCACTTGAAAAAATGGATAGAATTGTAAATGAAAATATTGTTTTTATATTATTTCAAATATTTCAATGTTGGTTTTGTTTGAGTTCGGTAGGTTTTTTAAAAATCAGTGTGTGTGGGTGTGTGGATTAATCAACCAATATTTATATATTAACATGTGTTCGATTGTGAAAATTTAGATTGCAAGTAAAAACACGATTCAATTAATCACAATCACAATATCGGATTTACTTTGTTCTACTTATGGATTTGTGAGTAGTAATGATTTGTAATCGAATCCTTTTTTTTCTTCCAATTCATTTAATTTACCCTACCACTTCCCTCCCAACCTCAACTACAGATTCAATTATTGGAAGTGAAGGAATGGTTTGAAGATTTAATTAATTCGTGTTCAGAAATTTTAATTGATAACTATGAACATTTTTACTACCATGATTTACCATTAGCCATCTCACTGTTGGTTTGTTTTGTTATTATGTGTTTCTTGGTTTACAAAGTATACCTAAATTTTGGTTGGATGGTTTATAAAAAAATTGGCGGAAGTGTAAAAATTCAAAGTAAGTTGTTATTTCATGCATACACCTAAACTTTAAATGTTCACGAATCAATGAGCTTTAACATTATTATATTATCAAATAATGATAATAGGAATTTATAGAGCTAGGATAATCTTTTTTGTATTATTGAAAATGAACTTGTTCTTCCTAATAATTACTGGCGTTCACACATTTTTGTCGTTCATTATGACCAACAATAGTAATAGTAATAATTATGAAACACCATCACCCAACTTATTTTATTACTATCATTGCTTTATAATTTTCTTGATTTTAGCATTGCAATTAATTGGATTTATATCTGTAGGTAGCATAAATCAATTACTAATGACTAATGACGGTAGTTAATTTATTCCTAAATACCTTTAGTTTATTTATTAGGTGAAAAATGAATCAAAAGTTGGAATGTTTATATTTATATTTTTCTGGATTTTCGTTATACTTGATTTTATTATCGCTGTGAAATATGCCACCAGAAAAATTTACACCCATTGGTATTACTTAATATATTCAAGTAAGCATATTGTTCAATTGGTTGGTTGGTTGGTTATTGGTTTGTTATTTGATTAGTTTCTAATTTTTTTTTTTTATTTTTGAATATCTTCCAGATTGTATATCAGTATTTATGTCAATTGTAAGTTTTTGAATAATTATAATGATTTTACAAATACGATTTTTCTCTTATAATTATAATAATAATTCTACTGTTTACTATTTAGATGACGTTGATTTGGGCAATCATAAATTTAAGATATTTTGGTGAAGGTTTATTGCAAATTCGTAAGTTAATTTATATATCTTTTTATTATCGTTTTTCCAATTCATTATTTGCTTTTCAATTAATCAATTACTTTAATATTGATTTAATTAGTCGAAGTATATTATTCACATAGAAAAAAATCTAGATTTAAATTTTATTTTAATATTATCAAAAAAAAAAATAATAATGAAAATAATGAAATCCGTGAGTTACATACTAGCAGTGTAATAATAGAATAATAGAATAATAGAATAATTAAAAACTTTTTCATTTTCAAAGCTTCTGCTCGAGAAGAAATTCTCGCTTTTAATATTTCAATGTTTGAACTGCACAACAATTTAGGTTGAACGTAGTTGGATGTTGAATGAAATAAGCCTTTTAATTGCCAATACAAATACAAATTAAAACCAATTACTTGTAAACGTACAGTATATACATATCCCAAATATCTCCCGAAGGAAGCATCAGTTGTAATCCCGGAAGTAAATCATAGCAGGTATCACCGAATGAGATTCCTCTTGTTAACCGGGTGGGCTGGGTGTGTAATTAAAGCTTCCTTCAGAATCGAAGTAAATTTCGAAGGAGAAAAGTGAACCTTTTTCCTTGGTAATTTGTGGTTGTATAGCATTTCCCACAATTACCAAAGGCGTAGTGTGCGTCATTATCATCTGTAATACTCTGGTCCTGTATGCAAATTCAGACTCCTCTAATCAGCAAGTTACCTTAGGCCAGACCCTTTTTTTACGTTCTGTCATAAATAATATTTCGCAAATAATTAATAAGTAGGGGAAAAGAATTAGCATCACATATGTCTTTAGCTGGTATTTTTGCAGCAGGGGATAGATTTATGTGGGATCACTATGATATATATAAAGAAAAAAAACGAAATTGTTGATAGGCATGGAGGTCCTCTTATGGTGCACTGTCATCAATAGTAAAAATGTAGATCTTTCCAATATAAGTAATTATTTTTTATATCAAATCATTGACCATTTAGAAAAACAGATAGATACTCTTGGTTCTTTTTTTTTTTAATGAGTTATATAATTTTTTATAATAATTTAAAATTAGTTAAAAAAATAACAGTAAAAAAGATAATTAAAAAGAAAAGAGTAATAAAATAAAAAATTAAATCAATTTTATATTATTATTTAATTCCTGAATAATATCATTGCCACCATTTTTGAGAACTTCTACTGAAGAATCATTCGATTCTTTTATTTTTTTTATACCAAAATTTCCATTAGAATTTCTTTCTTTATTTGTAATTTTCTTCTAGATGGTCCTGGAATTTTATAAAATGAATAATATTAAAAAAAGCATAGTGGACATTCTTATAATTGGTAATGATTTTCGTTGATCATATTTCGATTTTATCACCCAAAAAAGCAACTTTGATTGTCCCAAATAAATTAAACAAAATTTTAAAGAAAAAAAAAAGAATTTTATTTTTTAATGAAATAAATTTTTGCATGTATCTTGCTAACCCAACATTTAACCAATTATAAAAAGTGTGCAAGTTTTATCAAGTATATATTGGAAGCAAATCTTTATTTATCTTAATTGAGGCATGGACAATAGAAACAAGGCCAACATCTATCAATCATAAATAACATTTTTTATTAGTGTGTACTTATCTAATATGTAAAAAATAAAAAAAAAATAATAAATTTACAACTACCTTTATGTCTCAAGTCAATCATACAGCATCCATGTATAAATAACATTTTTTATTATGTACTTTCTGACATGTAATAAAATATATATATATATATGTATACATTTATGACTACCTGAGTCAATCATGTATAAATAATGTTTTTTATTAGTGTATTTATTATTACCCCAATATGTAATAAATAATATGTATGTATGTGTTGCTCTAGCACAATTACCTTAATGTCTAAAGAAACAAATGAAAAAGAATAAGAAGTGTAACTGAATCATTAATTTTTGCACATCTTGGTAAAAAATATGTATGCTTTTTGGAATTTTTGCCTCTTATTTAGATCTTGCAATCTGCTGGATTAACTGGGTTATTTTTAACCAAGCAAAGCTTTCAAAGGAAGGGATGTTCTTGCAAAGCATTCTTTGTTGTTACAATGTATTTTAGTCATGTTACTATGTTATGCGCCTTAAAAATTTTGTTTCTCATCTAGTTTTTGATAGGACCAAAGATCTGAGGATCTTATTTTGCCCAAACATAAAGAAAAGAATAAACAACCTATCAATATAAAAAAACAATATGCAAGGTGCATTAGTTTTTTTGTATTGATATTCCTCTTTTTTTTTTTTTACTTTAAAATAATTGAAAATTTCTTTTTCACAATATAAAAAAGGTCAATGTTCAATTTTGTCACTTTGTGATAAATATATAGGATGTCCATTATGATAAAAAAAATTTGGGTTATTTTTATTGGTGCGACATAAACTAATGAAAATTATTGGCGATCACTTACTTTTATGGAAAGTATTTTAGTCGAAATTTTTTTTGATATCAGTCGCAGGACATTGCGGATCTACAGGGGGTCAAGTGTCACTCACTAATAGCATATGCGCTGATTTTGTTTGAACCCCAAAATCCAGTATGGTATGATAATAACGTTATGAATACTTTATACTAGCAAAAACCCATTGGTTCTGAGGTGGGGCATTGGTTTGACGGGTTGATGGATAGTAAATTAGTTTTTTTAGTGGGGCAAATAATTTTTTTAGGGTAATTATCATTCTACCGACCAGTTTACACATTAAAAATACTCATGTTTAACATCGAGACACAATAAGACATAAGGTTTGAAAAAAGGCCCAAAAAATCAAATCGGCTGATATGGTATTAGTATATATACAAATATTGAAAAGGACAGGGTACAGGTAATTGTGGCTAATGCTCATCCCCTGTCCTTTCATCCGGAAAATATAAAAAAATTTTACACATGTCAATTGTAAGTTTAATAATAAAAAAGTGTAAAACTTACGTCGGCACTGTAAGATTTACACAATATTACGTCGGCACTGTAAGATTTACACAATATTACGTCGGCATCGTAAGATTTATGCAAGTTTACGCTAAATTAATTTCCTGATGTTTATAGTCACCCCTTTTTTTAGAACCAAACAACATCACTCGTGTTTTGTCATTATTATTATAAATCATTTTTCCAAGAAAAAAAAACAATCATCCAACCATACATGTGTTTGTGTATCATAAGATTTTTCAATCAAAAAAAATTTTTTTTTATAAAAAAAGAAAAATAAACAATGTTGCAGAAGCAACAAGACCTGAGTAAGTGTTTATCATAAGAATGGTGGTTATTGCTACTCGCCATCATTCTAGTTATTTTTAAAAGAATGGTAGTGGTGGTTGTGATGCATTACAACTCATCATTCTAATTCTTTAGTCATTCACAATTACCACCACCATCACAAGTAAGTAAATTATATTTAAATGAGCAAGACTGTTATTTATTAACGAAATTGAATCAAAAATTTTTAATGGTTTCAATTAATGCCTTTTTTACACAGAGTTTCAAGGAACTATCTCACCTAGTTTTGCTTTCTATAAGCTGATGTTGAGAAAATAAATAACTTATGGCAAAAAACTAATAGAAAAAGGAAGGCATCATTACCGCCAGCACTATCTCCACCACTAGCATCACAACCATCATCTCCAGTAGTTTCATCACTATCGTCATCGTCATCGTCATCATTATTAACAATAGATACCTATTCAAAGAAGCAATGTGTAGATCCAGAAATAAGTTGCTTCTGTCCGAATGTGGGAATACCTTTACAAGCTGATGGATCAGTAGATATTTTAGAGTTTACTGCATGTACATTGACCTAAAAATAATTACCCTTGGATCTTCTCGTCATACAAAAGCTCGAACAATTTGCTAGTAAATTCTGAACAAACAAGATGCTTGGTTTACTGCATCAGCATTTGATGTTGTTCTACAACAATTAACACAACTAGATGAAAACATTAAATCAATTAAAATATTTTCTGATGGAGTGTAAAAGTTCATCGGGAGAGCACTTACAATGCTGAGGTGTATAGAATTGGCTTGCAATGGTGCATGGCTTTGAGATAACTTCCAGTGGCATCTCGAACAAGTATGTGATGATGGCAACTACCACCATTTTTATTGTGACCTGATCATAAAGAAACCGGATAATTCCTATCCTGAAGCCATCCTTGAACTTGTAGCAACAGGATCCATCCCTAAATTTAAAAAACATTTTGATCAAGTATTAAATTATGCCAACCAGCTTTTCCCCCGGGAAGTTTGGATTGTGCATTTTTCTAGAGAGAATTCTGCTGCATCTGATCTATACTGGCCATGTAAAAAGCTTCAGGATAGAAAATTAAATGTCATACACAGTGAGTCTCGGCATAGTGGACCTCAGTATAACAGATTTGGGGTTTAGCAGATAAATTTTCAAAACCAAATTTTTCTATAACAATTTTATCTCAGTTTAATGGATTTAACGGATTTTTCATATAAATTCAGTTTGCCAGATATTTTTTAAAAATTCATATATGTCACTTATAACAAATTTGTAATTTATGAATTAAATCTGTAATTTATTTAATTTATTAATTAAATCTGTATTTGGTTACAAAATTCTGATTGGCTAATTTGAATTTCACGCACATGAATCCAAATTCACAACAGTACCATTTGGAAGGGAAATAAGAAATGAACGTTTTTACAAATAATAATAATGATCATATCATTATATTCAATATTGTTCTATGGCATGGATTGCAAGTTCGTGATGGAACAGCTAAAGTACATAATTTATGAAGAAGGCTCATAATTCTATAATCTCATGGAGGATTTTAAACTGATATTTCAACCATAATTAATTGAACTTTGGCGCCACATCTTGATCTAGAGTTCAGGCGGAACTCCACCTATTTGATGCAAACACAAACAAACATGAAGATGATATACAGTAATAATGTTTAAAATAGCTTTAACTATAACAAATATTTTCATTTTATTATAAATAATTTGATATTATAAAATTGATGGTAAACCGCTGGTTGATGAAACTCACTAGCCAAATTGGAGATTTGTGTAAACTGAACCGAGCTGTCCCTATCCCTAATCAAAAAGTTTATTATCTGGCAGCCTCTGAATTTGTAGATCACACGTTATTAATATATATAAAAAAAATTATCTGTCATCCACTCAATCCCTTTTTTATTATTATTATTATTATGTAAACAGGGTTTAAAGATTTTCAATTATAGTTTAAAAAACCAAATTTGGTTGGAGTTTTAGAGGCTGTGAAATGTCTCATTTACATATATAATAAAATTCTTGGCATTTTAGTTGTATCTAGTGATGGGCATAAAAATCATAAAGTAGTTAATAACTATTAGTGACTTATTAAAAAAAACCCCCCTTTGCAAAATAACAATAGGGCTTCCAAATTAGGAAGACTTGGTCTGTATATATATATAGGTTATCCTTGGGTTAATCAATAACTCTTGCTTAGAATGAAATAGTTAATAAGAGGTTAATAACTAATTAATAACTTGGAATTATTAAGTGTATGGTTAATCACTATGTGTATCTATTTATTATTTATTCAAAACAAACGAAGTTGTACGATGCGGATTATCTAGATCAATAACATGAGTACAACTGTGGGGTTTTCAAATGCTAATTTTTTAGTCCAAGAAAAACTAGCGAGTCATGAACAATATTTTTTTATATAATATGACGTTCATTCGTCAAATATTGATATTCGATTTGTATTAATATTCACCTTAAGCAGTATTTATTCAAGTCTAATATAGATTTTATCACTAATGGCGAAAATTGAACTAGTTTCATACACTACCTAATACACGTAATTTCTTTTTTATCATAGCTAAAAAGGGATTATTTTTTTCCTATAATGTTACTAATATTACTATATATTAATCTTGATGAAAATCTATAATTTTATTTTCAAAAACGGCATGATCAAAAAACGCTGTAATATTAATAAGGTTTAGCTTCTTATCATTTTCGTCATTTTTCTCCGTCATAGGCACGTTGCAATTTATTTAATTAACATAAAACTAACCTTTTTTATAATTTCAAATTAATTAAAAAACATTCGATAATTTAGTTAATCCACGTCTATTCTACTTTTTAATTCATTAATCATTTGTTAAAAAAGAAAGAAAAAAATGGGTACAGCTGGTGGTGTATTAGCCGGCGTAATTCCAACACATTATAATCCGGATGATCCTATAACACTTTTTATAATTCAAGTTGTGTTGATAATTTTTTTTACTCGTAGTTTAAACTTGCTGCTGTCACGTTTTCGTCAGCCAAGGGTCATTTCAGAAGTAGTTGGTGGTATAATTCTGGGTCCAACAGTCATGGGTCGTATACCAAATTTTATGGATAGTATTTTCCCTGGACCATCACTACCAATGCTTAACTTATTGGCAACTTTGGGTTTGGTATTGTTTCTTTTTCTCATTGGTGTGGAATTGAATCCTAGTTTGATATTAAGAAATGCAAGGAAAGCTATCACTATATCTGCATCTGGTTTAACTTTGACTTTTAGTCTTGGCATAGCTATAGGTTATGGATTGTATAATGCTTTCTATACTGCTGATGATGCTACCCCTTTCACAAGTTTCGTATTATTCATTGGTACAAGTATGGCCGTCACTGTAAGTAAATAATTGATTGATTGATTGATTGATTGATTGATTGATTGATTGATTGATTGATTGATTGATTGATTGATTGATTGATTATAGTTATTATTATATCCATATCAATTCTATCAATTCTATATGTAATTATACTAATTTAATTATGATTTTTCTTTGTAAAAAAAAAAAAGGCTTTTGCAGTTCTTGCCAGAATTTTATCAGAATTGAAGCTTTTAAAAACCATAGTCGGAACTACTGCAATCACTGCTAGTGTTAATGATGATGTAGTTGCATGGGTTTTACTTGCTTTGGTGGTATCAATTGTTAATTCAACAAACTCGATGAACGCTTTTTACATTTTTTTATTGTGTATTGGTTGGATCCTAATTGTAGTATTTCTAGTTCGTCCTTTGTTACTTTATCTTATTGTGGAAACTGGAAGTGATGATAATGGCCCTACTCTTACAATGACTGCATTCACTCTAACCTTTGTATTGATTTCTGCTTTTGTAACAAATATCATTGGTGTACATTCGATTTTTGGTGGTTTCATAATGGGCGTAATTGTTCCACATGAGGGTGGTTTTGCTGTTGGAATCACTGAAAAAATTGAAGATTTGGTCAATGTTTTATTCTTACCAATTGTGAGTAATCTTTTTATTATTATTTTAATTTTATTTAATTTCAATATATTATAATTTTTTGTATAATTAAAAAAAAAAATACATATAGTATTTTGCCTTATCTGGTTTAAAAACACAATTGGGTCTTCTAAGAGATTTAGAAACCTTAGGATGGACAGTTTTGGTAATATGTACTGCCATGTTTGGAAAAATAATAGGTGTTGGTTTAGCTGCCAGACTTAATGGTTTAACTTGGAGAGAATCATTGACCATTGGCATTTTTATGAGTTGTAAAGGGTAAATCAATTTACACATACACATACACATACACACACATACGTGTATTGATCTAATGCATATATGTTGATTTTTTATTTATATAGACTAGTGGAATTGATTGTACTTAACATTGGTTACGATGCTCATGTTATTAATGAAAAAGTCTTTGCAATTATGGTCACTATGTAAGCATTAATATATATATATATATGTATGATGCATGTATGTATGTATTCATAATACGATAATAATTACAACAGCACTAATAATAATTTTTATAAATTTAATGATTCATTTTAGGGCAATTGTTACAACATTTCTCACAACGCCACTTGCACTGTTTGTTTATCCAGAAAATAAAAGAAAATTAGATCATAGTGTAGATGAAAAAGGAAGACATCATACTTATCATAGTGAATCTGAAAATACTTTACAAGGGAAAAATGGCAGCAAATTGTTAATTGTATTGAATAAAGTTGAATATTTGCCTGCAATGATGACTTTGGTTCAATTACTACAACCCATACCAACTCCTCCAAGGGTTGCAAATAATCTGAATGAAAAATTCGGTGATGGAAAATCAAGGCCTTTATTAAATACAAATATCAACGCCAATACAAGTCTCAGCAACAACAACGATCTCACAAATCTTTCCAATGCTTCAAATATTTCAAGTGAACCATTAACAATTCATGCATTAAGACTTGTTGAACTTACACAACGTATCTCTGCTGTCATGAAATTCAATGAATCTGAAGAAACTATTCTTCATGACCCCATCATGAATGTTTTTCGTATGTTTGGTCAACTAAACTACATCAACATTAAAGCAAATCTTTCAATTGTGTCTATAAATGATTTTGCAAATGAAGTTGCTGAAAATTCACGAAGAATAGGTCCTGAAATGGTTATAATTCCTTGGAATGGTGCTGGTGCTATCATTGAAGATACCTCAATTCCTTCAGTCGATCAAATATTTTTAGGTCCAAAAGAAAAACATGAAAAAAGAGAGACAAGTCCACAAATTGCCAATTATGTACAAGGTGTATTCAATGAAGTAAACACGGCAGTGGGTTTTTTTGTTGATAGAGGTCTTGGTGTAACCGTTGGTACAATGCCTTTACAACCTGGTTTTCAAATAAGCATTGTTTTACTATTCTTTGGTGGCAATGATGATAGAGAGGCGTTGAATTTTGTTGTTAGATTATTGGATCATCCCTATGTTTCTGCAAAAGTTGTCAGAATATCACATTCAACTGTTCTAACAGAAAATGATAATCATTCATCAACATTACCTACCTCCTCCACTGAAGGTGATGATGGACTTACAACAGATTCTATTTATGATCCAAACAATAATGAACCGTCAAATTCAAATAATAGCAATAAATTACCTGAAAGACCTCAACTTGCACATAAAATATCCACGGCATCAGTTCAAGTGCTCAAGGCAGACATTGATCGTGAAACATCAAATGAAACAGATGATTCATTATTGAAACGATATTTTGGCACCGAGGATGGTGCTTTGAAATCTAATCCACGTATAAAATATTATAGTATAAAAGCTTTTAAACCATTACGTGCAGCGATCAAAGTTGCAAAAGAATCAGTGAGCCACAAAGATTTGGTGATTATAGGTCGTGGAAGGCGTGGTGCATTGTTGACTCATCGAGACGAATATCTTGAATTATTGAAAGATTTAGGAATTAATCACCCCCATAACAGTAATAGGCGGAAGTGTTTAGGTGCTGTGGCCGATGCACTATTATTATCAAAAATTGTATCGAGTGTTTTTGTGATTCAAGGAAAATTGGAAGATGATAAAGACAATGCATCAACTTATTCATCACGTCATGGCGATGTAAATCATTGATGCTATATATATATATTTATTTATGTATGTATATATATATATATTATGTATATATTTATTTATTATGAAATTTGAGACTATCAAGCTCAGATTCTTGCTTTTTTTTTTCTTCAAATTATTTTTGTTTGGACTTTTGATTTGACAAATAATAAAATATAACTATTTTATTATACATTTATTATATATTTGATAAGATATAAATCACTTGTTGGCCTTGTATGCTACAAGTGATATATACCTTCCACAAATATTATTATAGAGATATTTGTTGATGTTTGGGATCCATAGAAATAGGCATTAGTCTTAAAATGACAAAGCTTTATTTTCTTTTATGATATTAAAAATTTCTTTTTCCTATTTTCAACAAATCAATTCATGACAATGTCAGGATTAGAAAAAGGATGAAAAATCATTAAATAAACCTCCAATATCAAAAATCTTGAAAGCATCAGTTTTATTCACACTAAAATTTTTTTTTTACAACATTATATATGCTTGTATTTCGATAGTGATAGAGTTTTTTTTTATCAAGCTACCATCGGGATCATGAAAATTAAATTAACACCTCAAGTTCGACTTTGCCTACTAAATATTTAGAATGCAATCAAACAAAACTGCTTTTTAGATCGTCAAAAATCGCGTGTAACACCTATATGGTCCCATAATAAATAATCAGAACAGAAGACATGGCTCACTATTTTCCAACCGAACTTTTAATTCCGATTTTCAGAGATGTTGAAAATGATTTTAAATCGCTTTATTCTTGCGTTTTAGTTAATAAGCATTGGCACAACATAAGCATTGCAACGTTATGGAAAAATCCATTTTGTACATTTAAAAGTACTCTGATGATAATGAATTGTTTATTGGTAGAGGATCAAGATTTCATTATTAAAAACGACATTTCAATGACATCATATAAACCACTAAAGAAACCACCTTTATACAATTATGCAAGATTTGCTACTGAATTGGATCTTATGGAAGGATCTCATAATTTAAATAAATTGGCGATTTACATTAATTGTGAGAAGTTTGAACGTTTTAAAGAAAGATTAGTGAGCTTTATCTTGGATTGTTCAAGTATCAGGAAACTTCAAGCTGCTAATTCAAAATTTGAACTTTTTATTGATCATGCTAATTTCAACAGTTGGTTCCAGAACCTTTATGAGTTAATATTAGGAAATCATTATTATCAACCAAAAAATATTGATAAACTGACAAATGTCTGTACAAAAATTCAAGAACTTGTAATTAATTACGATCAATATTTCAATGCTAATAATTGTGATAGCTTGGCTAGATTGATCAAAGCACAAAATAAAATTAAAAAAATAAAAATAACTTCAAATGTTCTTAATGATAGCGATGTAAATTCATTTGAATTAAAAGAAGCAATATTGTCACATTCAGAATCATTAATTGAATATCATAGTGTGGGATTTAGTCTTTTAGATCATATTGATGGTGGTGTTGGTGGTAGTGGTAATAGTAATAATAATAACAACAACAACAATAATAATAATGATAATAATAATAATAACAAATATTATCCAATAATATCATTTAACAAGTTAAAATTTTTGCACCTGGAAACTTTGAATAATTATGGTTTAACATCTAATATCCATATTACTAATAACATAAATAAAGTCATATGTCCAAAAGTTGAAAAGGTTTATGTAGAATTCGTTTCTAGAGGTTCTTTGTTAGATATATGTGAATTCATTATTCTCAACGGGGAAAATATTAAAGAGCTTAGGGTTAGTGGTAAACCAAAAGAAGAACTTATTGAATATTTAAAGATATTGATCGAATCAATTGGAGAAAATTGTCTAAATCTAGAATATTTATCAATAGTATATGAAAATGAATTGGCTCAAGAATTAATCCCGATATTTAGTAATTGCATTAAGCTAAAGGAAATAAATTTAGAATTATTTAAAGAATCTTACAAGTCTTTTATAGACGCAAACCAAATATTGGAAGTTTTATGTAAAACATTACCAAAAAATTTAAAAAAGATTTATTTTGTACGTAGTTATGTTATTATTTCTGGTGATTCGCTAGATATGTTGATGAAAGAGTGGGAAGGACATAAACCTTTATTTATAAAATTTTCGGTGCGTCCTATAGACTCTTTAAGGTATTATAGACTTGATAAAATGTTGAAAAACTATCAAAATTTAGGAATTATTGATTATGAATTTTAGAATCTCACAACTTCCCTACACAACATCAGATCTTCATTATTATATTGATTTTTTTGAAACGATGATGATTTGCTGGATTTTCTTGATGGCTAAAGAAAAAGTTCAATTGTTTTACATAATAATGTCAATTTTACAAATAAAATAAAGTATTTCATTTTGCCTTTGTTTATTTGTGTATATATATATATATATAATTTGTATATTTTTTATTTATATTATGAAACATCTATTTTATTTTTGTTGTGTCTAGTTATATAATAATAACAATATTGTTATTATTTACATTAAATATAAATCAAGAAAATTTTACAAGAAAAATCGTTATTATTTTATATAATGTTTATTATAATAATATTTCCATCTATCTATTATTAAATAAAATTTTCTTTGGACCCATTAACAATGAGTTGTTTTTCTTCTTGCCATGGACCAGCATCAGAAAATTGACAACCATTTTTACAATTACAACTTCCACCAAAAGCAGCTGGTAAATTTTCAGCTGGAATGTTTTCCAATAAAGTTTGTTGATACTTGCTATTTAAAATTATGATTTTGGCAGCTGTAACCTCATCAAGTAATGGTTTCACTAAACCCCAAACAGAAGCGAAAAGCATCGGAGCATTAATGATGTAAAACTTACCCATACGTTCAGGATAATAATTTTGACCAATATTAGACGCTTGTTTCACAAATCCAAAAACATTAGAGAATGATCGAATAGAAACACCTTTAAGATCTAAAATTGTACATGTTGTTTCAATAAGTTCACCCTGTTTTAATGAACAAGCTGGTAATCTAATATAACCAAGTTTTTCATACTCGACCACTAAATTTTGAATTTGTCGTTCAACTGTGGTAACCTGATATAAAGATTTAATATCAACTTTGCCAATTTCTTCAATATAAATAGGTCGACCATCCTTATCAGTTTTGTGATAATATCTTGGATAATATTTCATCACTTCATCACGTTCCTTATAATCAAACGTCTTAACCAACTCATCAACACCAAAATCTTTTCTCCAGTTTTCACAATCAATAAACATTTTTTTGGTTTTAACTAGATCAAATTTTCTTGCTCTTAAAAACCTGAGTAAATAATCATCATCGTGTCGGTCCTCGTTAAACACACCCTCGTCTTTAAGTTCTTGTCGAAATTGTTCTAGTGCTTCTGCTTGTTGTGGACTTAAATTTCCAAGATGTCCTGTAAATTTATGTGCTTGTACTTCGGTAGTAACAGATGGTGGCATTTCTTAAATTTTTATATAAAAAAAGAATTTTTTAAGGATGTTTTTTTCTTTTTTAAAAAAAGCGGATAATATTATATGGTATTTATTATATAAGTTTATATAAATAATTTTTATTTGAATAATTATATTTTTTTTACAAATAAAAGAATGAAAAAATTAATTAATTTTTTTTTTTTGAATGAAGGAATGAATTGATTTATTTTGATCGTTCGCTCGCTTTCTACAACTATTTATATAATGAAAAAAATTTTTGAATAAATATATTTTTAGTAAAGAAATCAATAAATTTTGATGCAAAACAAAAATTTCAAAAAGTTACACGGCACAATAATTTATTATTAACACACGAATCATATTTCATATTTATATTTATAATACATACTGCCCCTTTTTCGGGAAATTTTTGAATTTAAATATCTGAAAAGATCGCCACTTTCCTCTTACCCAAAATATCGTTAGCTTCGTCCTATCTTCCTTCTTTATTTTTCTTTATTCAAACCTAAATTGAATGTAGTGTGATCTTTTTAATTATTCAATTGAGGTAAATATCTTTAGAATTTTCAACAGGTAAGATTCAACTAAAATTCAATGTAGATTTTATGAAACTTGATATTAAACACATTGTTTCAATATAAAATCGTTTGCCCCCTTCGATCTTCATAATTATTGTATTTAAAAAAAAACCGGAAATTTAGTGAATTGTGTCATTTTATTTTTGGGAAACATGCGATAAAAAAAATTCTGATAGTAAGTAGGCCCCATACATATTTTCATGGCTTTAACATAAGTTTTTACCGAGAAATTGGATATCCTAATTGCCTGTTCAGATATTTCTTTTTCTCACTTTCATTGGATTTGAGTAACCATTCATCATCCAAACGAGCTAACTTCTTATCTCTATAAATAAAAAAATCTTGTGCATTAAAGTATTTATTCTTGATATTTATTTGAATCAAATATTAATATAATGTTTTGGGATTCTCTGTTGAGAGCCGGAATACGAATAAATGACCGTGCGTTGACTCATTTTTTTTTTGAACCAAAATTCTTTTACGTTATCAATCTTGCTGAATAAAATCGTGATTGGCTGATTAGAGAAAACCAACCAATGAAAATCAATTAATTTTCTTTCATCGCAAATACATTATTTGGATGGATGCATTGTTAAAAGAAAACTTTATTAACATAAAAAAGATAATAAAATAAAGTTAATTCAATTAAAAACTTTCTTATTCGCAATATTACATTCAATGAAAATCCAAACTCCTATATCAGTATCCATATCAGCACCACCAGGTGGAACAATCCAGAAACATAAATAGAGGTTGGCACCACGCAAAAATTCTTTAACCGGTTAATTAACCGTTAAAATTAAGAGTTAACCGGTTAACAGGTTATTTAGTCACGTGGAATTTTTTAACTGGTAAATTCGATCGTTCATTACTTACAAAATAATCACGTGCCTGTCGAATTTTATTATTATACACTTAATAGATGATAAATGATTACAGTCAAACCTCGCCACATTGGATTCATGGTTCCAGCCAAAAAAATCCGTTATTATTATTATTATTATTATGACAAGAAGTCAGCAGCGGCAAAATTGGTGATGATTCACTCTCTTATACCGAACCCTCTGTCCATTATATGCATTTTTCTGCTTTTGTTCATTATAGAGAGAAATTAATTATAAAAAATTGAATCGGAGACAGGCGACAAAAGGGAAATTCGTTATAGAGAAATTTACTTAGTGTTCGTTATAGAGAGGTTTGGTATAGTGCAATAATTAATAAACTAAATACAGGAATAAATAAATGAATAAATGAATAATACATACGGAAATGAAAATTATTTGTTGAAATAAGATGTAATATTTGGTTGTATTATCTAATAATTTCACTTTTTTCAATGGTTTAAATGGTTTAAATTCTTTACAAACTATTTCTAAATTACCTTGTTGAAGAAAATTAAAAGCTATCTCAAAGGAAATTACGGCATCTTTTGTTGAAACTTTAGACATTGTGTTACTCTCAACAAGTATTATATTATTAACATCATTTTGAAATCTCTTCGACCATATTTCTTGAATTTTCAATTTTCATTATTAGATATTTCATTTTCCAAAGGGAGAAAACATTTATATGTCACGTAGACATATATAAAGACCCCATCAAAAATCCGTGGAACAAATTTATTATTAGTATTAGTAGTAGAATCCGTTATTATTATGACAAACGTTTTAATTAATTTTAATAAGGGGACAATACTTAAATCCGTTGTAACAAGAAATGTGTTGTGGCGAGGTCCGCTGTGACGAGGTTTGACTGTAATATATAAAAAAAAATTAATAAATGGTGGTTAACCGGTTAAAAAAAATATATTAACCGGTTAACGGTGCTAACCCCTAGTACTAGGCTTTCTCAGTTTTGGGACGAAAATTTTGTTGAAATAGTTGAGATTCTGGCTGTTGAAATGCAGGTTGTTGAACAATTCGTTGAGGCTAGAGATGGGCAAATGGCGTATAGTACGTATAGTAGTGTTGAATTTTGATTGGGTGATTTTCCAAAACTGGATGAAAAAAATATAATTTGGCTATTATGATAAGCATAAATCTTTAATTTATTCAACCTACACTTTTTAGGTTTTTATTTATGAATCATTAATTATATTGAATGAATTAAAATATCATAAAAATCAAAACTTCTTTCATTTTTTATTTGATTCTTCAATAAAATTTTCATCAGCTTCCTTGATGAAATCTTCAATTATGTTGTAATTTACCTGTACACCAAGTATTTGAAGTATTAAAATGTTCTCCAAAATAATTTCTTTTAATTTGAATTGTGGCATTTGGACAAAGACGTAAATGTTTTTCACATCTAGATATTGAACTAGAACGTTAATATTAAAATGTTGCCAAATTGCAGGCAAGTTTAAAATATATATTTATCGTGAGAAGAGTATTAATTTTTATGTGTAACATCACATCTATTATTTGGCAATAACCTAAACAGGAATTGATTTACATTTACTACTATATTTTTCTAGAACTATACGCACTATACGTATCACTATACGTATAGTATTATACGTATAGTATTATACGTATAGTACTGATTTGCCCATCTCTAGTTCTCAATAACTTTAATAATTTCTAATTAAAGATATATTAAAGAAAATTTTTTCCAAGAATAATAGCATTATTTGCTCTATGAATTACTTAATTAATGGAAAAAAGCATAAAAATCTCGTGATACATTTTACTATTTCACAACGATCCAAATGGTCTTTGATACCTAAGACCAGACCAATTCAGTCCGTGGTTCTGTTGAGCCCGGTCTTGTCCATTAACATTCCTACAGAAAAGAAGCCAGCACCTGGTGACCTTCTTGCTACTTTAAAAACATCAAGTCAATGTTTCCTGCGCAAAATAATTGATAGAAAGCTAGAGGAGGATGAAATAGATGAAAATCAAAAGTATGAAACTCTAAAGGAAGAAACCAGGGAAATAAACAAACCAATGGCCGAAATGAAAGAATTAATGGCAGAAATAAAAGAATCAATAATGGTCGAAATGAAAGAATCAATAATGGCTGAAATTATGGAAAAATCAAGATGAAATTGTTTGTACTAATAATAAAAAATAATGGTGATTTAACATCAAGTTTCTTTTAGAAAGAATCACCCTCGGATGACTTCGCCACTAACAGTATATTTATTTATTTACTATATATAGAAAATAAATAAATTTGAGACAGCATTATTTAATATCTTAAAAAAAATATATATTTGGATAAAAGTTTTGATGATAATAATGATATCACATCTATTACTGTTGACGGCAAAAAAATAAATCTTATTATTCATTATCACTAATGACTAGTTTCTCCATTCTCTATTTTTTGTAAATTGTCCCATTTTTTCTTATCATAAACCCAGATCATTTCTCGAAAACAGTTAAGCATTGACCACACATACAGTCTTCGCCTAAAGCATGTTCTTGGATAACTTTGACAAATGATGTTGCTTCAATTAAACCATTTCTTGAAAGTTTCAACAATGTTAACTTCTTTTTTTAAATCATCTAATGTTTTAAAAAATTTGCTCATAACGTCGTCGTATGATCTTCTATTAAATTTATTACTATTATGTCTATTTTATTTTCTAATCTCCGGCTATAATTCGAAACACTAGCTGCTTCTATGTATGTTATCAAATTCATTAGTATTAGATTCAAATTTATTGTGGTATAATGACATGATGTCCAATATGTTGATGTGAGAAACTTTCCTTAATTGGTAGGATAATTGCTCTTTCCGTGTTCATGGCATCTTTTTTTTTTTTTGAAGATAAAGTCTAGCATCATCAAGTTACACAATTCAAACTTAAAATAGTTGCATAAAAAATTTTTACCAGACAACTTCAAACAATGAATGAAAGTATCTTCATTGTTAGCGTTTGCAACTTTTAATATAGGCGGTGGAGGAAAGCTGTTCTATTTTTCAGGAGAAATTGAAGGGTTCGTTAATAGTGTGATGCAATATTGCTAATTGTAGATGAAGTAATTGGTTTTTTTCCTTTATTCTATAAATCATTATTATTATTTATTATAAACCTACTCGCTTCTTTTTTCTTGGAACGTTTTTTTTTGTTACTGTTTCCTAAAAAGCTTCATTTTTTATATTGATCATTTTTCGCAATTTTTAATCAAAGTTTGCATAATCACAAAGAAAATAGATTCTCTGATATTGGGGCTTTCATATAATATTATTGATTGGTCGAATTACGTATACATTGTCTGTAAATATCATATAAATAAAATAAGTCTATTGGAGAGGCTTTATTCTATTATTCCTTCTCTATTCAACCAAAGCAAGCAAGTGAAATCAAGCTTCTTAAATGTTTATTTTATGTAAAATCACTTTATTTTCATACCTTCCACTTGTGACTGCATCTATTGTCAACGAAGATTATAAATCTGAAGAGGATGATATAATGCT